TAGTATAATATGCAGTGCTAATTTGTGTCACAAAGCTCTCTATAGTTTATTGGTAGACATAAAATGGTGGTCATGAAATATCGGAAACTAGTATTATGAATTGTGTACAAATATTATTATTTTTTATGTGCTAATCTAATGTCAAGGCCACTTGATCATCCTATTCTTGATTGATACCCTATACTCACTCACTCCTGACAACCCCCAACTTTGGCAATGCAACAAGCAAGCTCTTAGCACTTCTTTGGAAAAGGGTACTCGCTCATGGTAGACTATCTGGACATGCTTACACTAGCGGGGCTCTAAAGCAAAGATCTGTAAAGTGGGTGCAGGAACCTAGGGGTGGGCATACGATCGGTTCGATTTGAACCGAAACGAAATAATGCATACCGGGTCCGCGAATTCCATCAAATCTCAAACCAAATTATAACGGTTCGGTTTTTCATACGAAACCGAAGTTGTGAGGTTAACTTGTATCTTCTCTCTATTAAATTATTTTTCACCCCTAATGTAAATATAAATATGCAATTATATGCATCATCAATGATAAAATCAAACATTTCAACACATAAGTCATAAAACACTAACATGATTCAAATATTTAAGTCTTATAATAAGTACAAAATTAAAAATCCACCATTTGAAACTTACAATTATAGTAATTCGGTCATTCGATTCGGAATGTATAAAATTGGAAACAAATATATTAAGTACATGGATGTTTGAGGAGTGAGGGCATTGTCACAGACTAACAACACACAGGTGAGTTTTGGTAAAATAGTAAAATTCTGATTTATATTTATGAAGGGAATCAAATTTGCCATAAGTGATGACAAAATCAGAAATTTGAATGAGAGCCTAAAAATTTAGGTTGGAGGAATTTGAATTTTGAACCATGATAATAAGGGAGGGAGGATAGAGCCCTATCATAAAATTTTAGATGTAAATTTACATACATTTCAAAGTTGAAGGGTTCTATAACCCTCTTGGACACAACGTGACTGCTCACCATTCTGAAATGGCATAAAGGTATTTTTTGTTACGACACTAAATTAGCTTGTTTTTTTTTTGTTATATGTTTTAAATATTATTTGTATTATTTAAAAACACACATAATTTCAAGTTCTTATGTGAATATATATAAATGATTAACTAGCTTTCACCCGACCAATTTGTCAGAAAGTGATTTTTATATAGGATAATTTAGTTTGTACCTCACGACAATGTTTTAATGCGCATGAATTGTTGTGCATTGCTATTATGATAGTACAAAATTAAACATTGATAGAGTTTAGTAACTAATTCGAATAAGAAACTTGTTCCATGAACTTTTGTAGTTACATGAGTAGGGGTGGCTATTTGCAGGGGCGGAGCTACACTCAAGCTAGGGTGGGCCCTGCCCTCGGGATTGGTCCCAGCCCCCAAGATTGTAAGGATATTTAGTACAAAATTTATAAGTAGAACTTGTTCCGTTAATTCAATTGTGTAATAGTAATGTGGTCTAATGGTAGCCAAAGTTGAATTGTGTTTTAAAGCACACGAGTTCGATCCATCTTAGCTACATACATTTTATTTAATTATTTTTTGCCCCCACCCCCCCTCCCGGTCTCGAAATCTTGGCTCCTCCCCTAGCTATTTGGTTCGGGCTTTTTGGTTTTACCCAAAACCGGACCGGGACTGAATAGCAAACAATCCAATCTAATTTTTGGGCCTAGATTTGAAGTAAAAAAACATTCGAAACCGGACTGGAAACCAGATAAAGACCATATAAGAGAGCCCAACACCCAAAATTTAACCTCCTCGCCCTTAAGGCCTCAGGCCACTCAAATCCCCACAAGTTTAATCTAAAATCAAAACCGAATTGGGACCGGACCAGATCAAGACCGGATTGTATCCAATCCAATCTTCGGTCCTTATATTCTCGAAAAGACTGGACCCGGGTCGGATCAATTCGGACCAATTTAACCGAACCGGACGTATAGCCACCCCTATACCTGAGTACTTCATGGAGGTAGAATCTAATGATATTGATATAATTTAGTATTTGTCCAATAGAAACGTGACTTGCGAATAATTGATCCCGGCCATCTTTTTTTCCCTCGAACATATATAAAAAACGATATCTTTGTGTAGATCACATAAAACCTGATTTTTTGGTACAAAGATATCTAAATTCGGAGGTCAAATGAAATAAACACATATCAATTAAGAATAGCATGGTGATTAAAAGGAAAAGAGAGTGTTTGCTAGGTGGCACATTTTGATTGGATTACTGAAAAAAAACTTAAAATAAAAAATTAAATAAAGAAACTGCTCTTTTAATGTAGACCGTTAGATCTACGAAGGAAAGATAATAAAGTAAAATGAAAAGAAAAAAATCTGATTGGTGGGAGGGCTGTTGACGTGGTCCTGTGGATGCGTAGGAAGGCTAGAATTTTGAAATGATGAAGTCTTTAAGGAGAAAGTTTATATTATATTTTGGAAAATTTTTAGCTCCAATCTTGATTGGACGCAAAAGCTCCAACCATCCACATGTCAGTTTGTTATTGATGAAATAATCTTTCTTATTTTTTTAATTCTTTATTTATTTAGCATAATTAAGAATTTATTTAGCATAATTAAGAACATTAAATATTAACAAAAAAGGAAGGTGAGCATTTATTGGAGGAATTTTACAATGATATAGCATTGGTGCTATATGTTTTTGCCTTTATGGTACAACTTCAAGTTGTACTTTTAACATTATGATACAACTTTATATTGTACCTATACTCTTTTGTATAAATTCTTTTATGGTACAACGTGAACTTGTACCTTTATGTGATGGTACAAGTTTAAGTTGTAAAGTTGTATCATAACATAAAGGTAAAAAATCTTTTATGATACAACCTGAACTTATACATTTAAAGTTATTGTACAACTTCAAGTTGTACATTAAAGCACCAATGTTTTATAACATAGTAACAGTGCTCCATTTATTGTATCGGACAACATATAAGCAAAGTTCGTGTGTGTCATGCAATCATAGGTTCTAAACACAACTGTCGTAGAGACTACTTGTACGTATAGGTGTCAATCGGGCGGGTTCGGGCTGGGTTCAATCGGGTTCGGGTTCAAACGGGTTGCGGGTTAGTCGGGTTGCGGGTTCATCGGGTTCGGATTCATCGGGTTCGGGTTCAAACGGGTTGCGGGTTAGTCGGGTTGCGGGTTCATCGGGTTCGGGTTCAATCGGGTTGCGGGCAAATCGGGTTGCGGGTTCATCGGGTTCTGGGTCGGGCGGGTTGCGGGCGGGTCGGGTTTCGGATTTTTCGGGCTAGCGCATCAAGTAACTTAACTCATTACTCATTACCAACTTACACATTTTATTACACTAATTTAAAATATTTCTCAACTTTTTAACCAATTTATTTTTACCTCGTATATATTTACTTTATTTTTTTGAAAAAAAACTAGTCAAAATTTTAAATCAATTTGTATGACTTGCAAACTTGTTATGTAATTAATCATAGTTGATAAACTATTATAGCTAATAGTAATGGTGATATCAATATTTGCAACCAAAAGACACCGTTAATTGTTTATTTGATATTTTAGTAGTAATTCAGTAGTAATTGAATTAAAGTATCTCGTTTAGTATAACCATGCAAATCTGGTATTTGGCGTGTGGTAATTGGCAAAAGCATAGTGATAAAAGGAGTTATTTCAAAATAACTCATTGCCCAAATAACTTCAGTAAACTGTTGCCAAACGAGCTATTTGTAAAATTGTTCGAATTATCCTAAAAATTGAACCATTAAAGATTAGCTATCAAATTTAGTAAAATTATTGTGACTTCAATCATAACTTACTCAATAGCATATATCCTATACACTTAGCCTTACTCTCAATCAACAATATTAAGTTAGTATATGTTGTTGATTGTATACTCTAAACCATCAATACATTATACACTAACCACATAACCTATACCCTAATCATATGTCCTTGAGTTGTGATTTTGCTAGTATAGTTAATTTAAAAGTGAAATTCATACTTTGATTTTCAAAACATAGATAAAAAGTGATATTTGCTAATTGTTATACCCTAACTATATATCCTATACTTTACACCACATACCTTGTACCCTAACCACGTACCATAAACATAAATTAAAAAGGGATCTCCTGCCGTTAAAGACTTCAAATGACTTCAAGTGAACATATGTTAATAAAAAACTTAGAACCGTCAAAACCATCAATATCTTATACTCTAACCATATACACCCTAAACCATATGTACCTTATACCTTATACCCTAATCATATACTTTATATCCTAAACAACGAACCGTCAAAGATTACTTATCAAGTTTAGTATAAATTATTGTAACTAATGGTTAATTCATTTATTAGCCCATAAACAATTACATACATATATACATATTAGCCTTCAAAGCATATAAGAATAATTTTAACTAGTCATGCCCTCCATATAAAAGTTAAAGATTCATATTTCAAAAGCTAAAATTATGAAAAACCAAAAAATTGAAAACACCAAATTTGTTTCCTTCTTTCTTTTCACAAAATACTAAAATTTCCCTCCTTCTTTCTCCTTCCATACATTAGAAAAACTCAATTTTCCCTCCTCTTTCTCTTCCATAAAATTGAAAGAAACAAATTACCCTCTTCTTTCCTTCTACAAAAAGTTGAAAAGTCAAAAGTTTCCCTCCTTATTTCTCTTTCTTAATCAAAAAAATCAAACTTTCCCGCTTCTTTCTCTTCCCACATATCAAAACCACAAAAATTCCCACTTGTTTCTTTTCTAAAAAAATTCAAAGAACCAAATTTCCCTCTTCTTTCTCTTCCCAAAAACTTGAATACACCAAAATTTCCCTCTTCTTTTAAAAACATCAAATTACCAAATACATTACTTTACTTTATTTATATTTAATTGATAATTTTATTGAATAGTTAAATTAACCAAAATTTTAATTTATATATTATATTAATATTGTCATGATCTCAAGTGACCTTCATGTTTTAATTTTGGTAATTTTCTTAACATCCGTAATATCAAGTGAGTTTCATATTTTTTAAATTTTTTATCCGAAATGAAAAAATAATTTTACTTAAGTTTAGAATGAAAAACTTTATTTTGAAAAACTATGTATTGTATATTTTTATAATTATTCAAGTGGATTAGATGAAATTCGGGTTGAGTCGGTCGTGTTACGGGTTAGTCGGGTTCGGGTCAATCGGGTTCGGGTTAATCGGGTTGCGGGTCAGTCGGGTTGCAGGTCAATCGGGTTTGGGTTAATCGGGTTGCGGGTCAGTCGGGTTGCGGGTTAGTTGGGTTGCGGGTCAATCGGGTTGCGGGTCAGGCGGGTTAGAGGTTGTTGACTTTTAGTCAATTCGGGTTGCGATCGGGTTGCGGGTCGGGTTGATCGGGCGGGTTAATCGGGTCGTGGTGTACGTAGCCATATCCCGAACACTAAACAGTGCTAATACAACTCCTTATTCAACTAAAACACTTATAATAAGGCTTAATTGCAAGATTGATCACTGAGATTACTAAAAACGTTCATGTTTAGTCACTAAAAATATTTAATTCCATTCATGGTCACTAAAATTAGTAAAACATTTCAAGTTCGGTCACTCTCCGTCCAACTCCGTTAACTTTGACTGATGTGACAGTCAACTCTTAAAGTTGACCGTTAAATGTGTGACGTGGCACTTAAAATATAATAAAAAATTAAAATTTTATATTTTAAATATTCCACCTAATTATTATCATCACTAAAAAAATAAAAATAGAAACCTAATTCTTCTACTACCTCCGCCGAACCCGCTTTCTCCTCCCCGACTCCACCTGCCGCCATCAGGGCCAATCCTCTCTGTGAAAAACTCCACGACGGCAAATTCAAAAATCCCCAAATCTAAAACAAGATAGTAAAGGAGGTATCAATTGGGGAACCAACGTACGAGGACGATGAGTGCAATGGCCAAGAAGGGAGGGGAGCGGGACTTGGAACTGAAAAGAGCGCCACCGCTACCGCTGTCACCGTACTGGTGACTAGGCGCTGTGATCTTCACCTTGCGTGGCGAGGGATGATCCGATGGCGAACCCTAACCCTATGGACGAATCTCGCAGGCGGAAGAGGAGTCCCTTGGGGAGCCAGAGGGATGGGGCGGCGTCGCGATCGAAACAGTCGCTGGTGGCGAAGCTTCCGGGGAATAATCTCGTGATGGGACAAGTGAAGATATTGAAGCTCGAGGAGTTGCTGGGGAAGAGCGAGGATGAGAAGAAGGGAAAAAGGTGGTGGATTTGGGATTGGGATCGGTTTGGGCCGGAGCTAGAGACGGTTCGGAAGGAGGTTAGGGTGGAGGAGTTTAATAAAGCCGTGGATGTGATGTATGCAGGTTCGGCATTTTTCACCTCGTCGCGTCCTAGTTTGCTTCTTGTGTCGGCGTTTAATTGTGTGATTAGTGAGAAGGTCAAAGGATCAGAGATGATGATATGGTAGATGGTGGAGATGATGGTTCGCTTCTTGGTGAACAGTCGGACCTTCAGCCGTGATGGCGGCGCAAGGGCGGATTGCTAGGTCTCATCTCGCGTAGATGTAGAAGATGAAGAAGAATAGAGCGAGTTTTTGCAGATAGGTTTCTGCCATAGTTTGTGTTTCTGTAGTTGTGGACTTGCGGTGGTGGGTGTTGTTAGCTGCTCTGGGTTTTTTAGTTGGCTCTACTAATTAGTGGTGACCATTCGGACCCTCAGCCGTGATGGCGGCGGGTGGAGTCGGGGAGGAGAAAGCGGGTTCGGCGGAGGTAGTAGAAGAATTAGGTTTCTATTTTTATTTTTTTAGTGATAATAATAATTAGCTGTAATATTTAAAATATAAAATTTTAATTTTTTATTATTTTTTAAGTGCCACGTCACACATTTAACGGTCAACTTTAAGAGTTGACTGCCACATCAGGCAAAGTTAACGAAGTTGGACGGAGAGTGACCGAACTTGAAATGTTTTACTAATTTTAGTGACCATGAATGGAATTAAATATTTTTAGTGACTAATTTTTTAGTAATCTTGCAATTAACCCCTTATAATAATTATAACCGAAACATCATAACATAAGATGGAGCACATAATAATATATATGTAAATAAAAGACATTAAATGATATGCAAAGTTGTAATTCTTCGAATTGTCACGTCTGAGTCGATCTCACAACATCCGTCCACACAGTGAGTTTCCGCCGCCGGCCGGCTATGATCAATCACGCGCCGATTGGGAAGAACGTCATGGAGCAGTCAGCATTCTCACTTCTACCTTTGGCGTAACTCTTGCACGCCTCCAGGTTCTTCTTCACCCCGGCAAGACACGCCTCGCAGTCTGCCACCTCGAGGGTCGTGCTGCAGGCGGCGGCGCCGCGTGGATTGCCGGTAGCGTACTCCGGGTACCAGAATTGGGCATAGAACGCCTGACTGTTGGGAGCTGTGGTCTCCAGTGCCGTAAGAACTTGCTCCACGTAATATGCCCAGTTGGGTGCTTCACCAGGCGCTACTGCCGGTTGACCTCCGTTTCCGTCGGAGCATTCAACCGGCGGGAATACCGGATCACCAGGAACTTGAGCGTTTCCGGTCGACGCGCCACCGAAACAAATGGTGGCTGCTAGTAGTAGTGCGCCGGCGATGGCTGTTGAGGACCATGGACAATGCTCCATAGTAGCAGCTACTCGATCGATCGATCTCCGGACAGTAAATATATATGGTTGATTTAATTTGGTGGCTCAAAATGAAGAGAAGTTGGGTATTTTTATAGAGCGGTACAAGTTGCTAGTGTGCTAGCTTCTCCTTCTTTCACTAGGAATTTTGTGAGCGAAACGTATTAGTCATTGGCTACATAAAAGAAAAATGGCACATCATTATTATTGTTTCATTGAGCGATTCTTCGATCGGTTAGTGTAATTTATATGATGTTTATTTTAATCCTAAAATTGGGCTACCCATAGAACCAGGGGCGAAAATCATTTTATATGTTATCGCAAAATGACTAAAAACAATAACAAGAAGAATATTAAAAATTTAATTTTATATTATTCTATTGTCACAATTAATTTAATGAAACGCACTTTATAAACTAACGTTTTAACATCAAGTTCAATATAAATTAAAAATAAGAAACATTGAAAGAATTAAAAATAAGTAATTAACAATTCATTTAGATATTGTATAGTGCATATGTTTTCATAATTAAGAGATAAGTCGTATATAAGTATTTAAAAGAAATTGTTATTGTTTATACATACGCTTAATTTTAAAGAACTACCGTGGGAGTATTTAAAAGAAATTGGTGGGGTGAAGCTGCTAAAAAATTGCTTCCGTGGGAGTATTTAAAAGAAATTGGTAGGAATAAAGCTCCTAAAAATAATTTCTTTAGAGGAGAATGGAAACCAAGACCTTAAGAGACAAGGTTGCAACACTTCCACTACGATAGGAGCGAATTATGTTAATTCTTTTGCATACTACGACATTTTATTCATTGTTTTTTGTTTATACGTAAATTACCCAAATATTTTATACGTAACTTTGAAGATTATCGGGTTGGCCGAGGCCCCCGACCCCTGCTGTAGCTCCGCCCGGCATAGAACAACATGTAAAATCTTATTGCTATTTCTTTTAGAGTTAGCATTCTTCAGTTTTGTAGGTTAGCTTGTTTAGGAAGGGTGTATAGGGAGAGATGAGGTTGTTTGCTTGTCTTTTTGTTGATTTTTTTTTAGAATTAAAATCATGAAATAAGAAGCGTTCTGATGAAATGATTTTTTGATTACATGCATAAAGAATGCGAAATTTTGTTGTGAATAAATTTTTTTAATGGTGAAAATTTGATAGGGAGAAATTAAACGTGGGCTTATTGTTTAGGGAATCCTCTGTTGTACATATATGTTTAGCTATTTAAGATAAATACGATCAGCCATTGTTTTTTTCGATGAGTGATGTTATTTTATCGAAGAAGAAAGCAAAAATACAAAGACAAATTGACAATGAGAATGAAACAAGATTAGAAGCAAAAGGCCAAAGGATATGTACAGTGAAGCAAAAGAAGACAATAGAACAAAAATTACGGAAGAAGAAAAACCAGAGTTTAGTTACCCTCTTGTTTCCGAAGGGAGGAAAATGGAGGGGATGGGAGACAATTTGGAGGTGAAGGAAATTGAAAGGAAATTGAAACGAAAATTGTGTTTTATGGAGGAAAGTGGGAAGGAAAATGTGTATTGGGAATTGTGATGAATATGTTATTTTATTGGGTATATAATAGTAAGAAAGTTTGATTATATGCAGGGATGTCAATTTCGACCTGACCCGTTTTACTCAACCTGTTTGGTCTGTTTTGGGCAGGTCCAACCCGCCCCGTAGGCGGGGCGGGGCGAGCATGGGTACTCTCATCGACCCGACCTGCCCTGACCCGCCCCATTCTCGACCCGTTCTTGCTTAAATTACATGTAATTTTATTCAAATTACTTACGATATTCCTTTTATTACATCGTATTTTAGCTATAATAAAGTTGTAAATTAGTGAAAACCTCAATTTCTCCAATAATTTAACTATATTTATCATAATATTGTTTATTTTCTTGGTCTTATAATAAAAATAACGAATATTTCTAATTTTTTTCATATAAATTGCATACCCATTGGGTCGACCTGCCCCGACCCGAGACCCGTGATAAATTACCCGACCTGCCACATGGCGTGTCTGGGTACCAAGAAACCCGCCCTGGACCTGCCCCATTGCCATTCCTAATTATATGTTGATATTATTTTCATTTCTTATGAATTGTTAATTAAATTTGTATTTTCTTGCTAATTTTGTTCAGTATTAAAAATTAAAAATAGATGATTTAAAAACATTACTAATCTATTTTTAAAATTATTTTCGCTATTTTAATCATTCATGAACATATCAACTAAAAACATAAACATATGATTGGCGCTATATATCTAATTGTCTCATTAGTTGTCTCAATAATTAACTATCAAAATTAATATATAAAATTCCGCATAAGTCACTTACTTTAAAATGAAGCTATAAAAATGAATTGGAGCTATATAAAGGTAACATAAAACAAAAAAAGAATTTGAAAAAAAATGAAAATGAACGGGATAAAAAAATGAACAACAAGCTTTCCCTCTAATTTTGAGGTAGCTTTCTACAGTACATTTATGTCCCATTCCCTCCCCTCCCTACTGTTTTAGAGCTAGAAAAACAGGGAAAAATATCTAGAAAAATGTGCTCTCCTCCCCTCCCTTCTCCTCCCATCCCCTCCATTTCCTTTCTTCTTAAACAGAGGGTTAAGGAGATGACGAAAGAGGGAAAATGTAGGCCAGAATGTACGAAGAAGCCAAACACTCAAAACAGAAGGAAAACTCCAGCAATGCCAATTATCAAAGGTTAGGGTGCCTCCCAATTTATTAATAAGGTAGTGCTAAGTGCTAACACTAGTTTTAGTCACATAAAGTATTTTATTTTAATGATCATTTCACCATAAGGGATTGATCATAATAAATAAAGATTTATAAAGGAAAGGATTATGGTGCTAACACACAATTTGACATGGTGCTAACCCTAATAATAACAAATAGAACCATTTCATTCTAATAACTTTTTATTCTAAGAGATTGACTACAGTAAATGGAGATTTATAAAGAGAGGGGCATGCTTGTCATTATTGAAAATGGGATGCACACTTGTGTGTTTTGCATTTAATTGGTGGACCACAAAACACAAACCATAAATACAACAAACCGTACCACAAAAATACCAGAAAGCTTATGAAATATACTAGTTGTCTTCTTGTTGGTTTTTTATTGTCCTCCTTCCTCTAGAAAATTGCTTCAAGTCTTGTTGTGGAGAGTTGTCAAACCCCTAAGGGTCATTTGGTTTTGGTGATTGTTAAATAAATGCATTGTCATCAATGCATGTATAATAATATACATGTATATAAGAAAATCGGTGTATTGTAGTTTGCATCGTTTGGTGTATGTGATAGTTATTGTGTTATTTAAATAAGTTATATTACTTTTTGGGTGAAATGTCACTTTTACCCTTTGTTTGTAATATAAAAAAGCAAGACACATAAAAAGATAGGGACAAAGTCGGAAGAATAAAACACAACAATCTCAACCAAACAATCTCAATAATCTGTCAAAAAAACTTGAGATTTAACTATCACTCATTTTGAGTGATAGTTTGTGTCACATCAAGCAAACAATGCATGTATTGTTTGTGCAGAAAAATTAAAAAACGATGCATTGTGGACAATGCATGTATTGTAACTATCTCAGCTGTTACATGTCATCATGTCATAGCAGTCACTCACAATGTCAATCAACTTGTTAGATTGGATGGTAACCATAAGATCGGATGGTCACCATACTTACCATCCAATTAGTACTTTGGATGGTATCCGCAAATAGGGAATGGTACCATCCATTTAGGGGTTAATGGTGTATCTATGGTATGAGATGATATTATCCACTAAAGGGTTGGAAGATATCCATTATATGAGATAATACCATCCACTTAGGGGTTTGGATGATGTCAATAATATGAGATAGTACCATCCACTTATGTATTAGATGATATCTATTATATGAATGACAACATCCATTTAGACTTGAGGGTTGTATGGTGTCCATGATATGAGATGATACCATTCTTTTACGGGTTAGATGATATTCATTATATGGATGACACCATCTACTTAGGGCTGGATGGTATCCATTATATGAAATGGTACCATCCACTTATGGGTTGGATGATATCGATTATATGGGACGATGTCATCCACTTAGTAATTAGATAGTACCCATAAGACAAGACAGATTGCGACAAAGTACTGAATGATCAACTCACTCTCATATTAACGTGATATCCCAATGAACCGGGACTAATCCACGGGAGAGTTTGAATACTCTCCGGCTGCACCTCTTATTCAATAATGGTTGTTCTGTTTGGACGAAGCCTATTACACATATTTATATAATCCCTATTCTCACATGTAGCTAGGGTTTGATTGTCCGTCTCGGTCTCGAATGTGGACTCGTCGACGTTTGCATGGACATGGGCCGAGCTGACGGCATGTCCAATAAATAATACAAAATCTCACAGTTTTATTAACAATTTCCCAAATCAACATGCTGATTCAATGTACCATCGAACCTTCCCTAGTTCATAATTAAGTTCCAGATCCCCATGGGACCACCGAGCGCCATCCTTTTCTCCATATAGATACATAATAATACATATACTGGAAAAACAGGGACTACTATTAGAACTCAACATGGAGCCATGGTAATGGTAATGAAGCACTTGATGAGCAATCTTAGTATGAAATTCACAATAATTTGTGACACAAAACAAACAGAGAAAGTTATCAATAAACCAATGTATCCCATAGACAACATAGTATTCAATCACTAAGAATCTCCACTCACCATCTCTTAATATGATGTTCTGCTACTACCCAATCTTTCAGGTGAGATAATACGCAGTGCAAACCCGTAGACTTTCAAATCAGTGGCATTTGTGTGTATATTTCACATTAGTTAATATTGGTCTTGATTACAGTGTAAATCTGATAAGTTAGTTGACACTATTTTTTTTCTAAGGTCTTAATGAGCTTCTCATATCTCAATCAATTATCACCAAGAAGCTAGCTCCGTAAGAACACGATTGAATAAATACAAACAACAGGATTTCTTACAAAGAAAAAAAATCCAAAGAGAACTTGCAAGCACAAAAAGACAGGCTCCATTGCCTTTAGTTTCATCCTCTAATTGTTGATCTATCTAATCACCTTCACCGATGGAGAATACAATGACACAACGAACACTCAACCAGTCCTGCCTAGCAGCTGCAGATTTGTAAGTGTAAAGGAAGGAAAAGGAATCACTAATTAGATATGCTGGAAATAGAACGCAAAAAAAGTTGAGATCGAAACCCTGAAATCCCTTGAAATCCCACAATCGAAGGATAAATCAAAAGAGATAATGAAAGATAATCAGTACAGATTTGTCAGAAACCAAATAAAATTATCTTACCATCTAACATATGCAAAAGATACATACTTCTTTCTTATCAGTATACAAAAAGTTGCTGCTCTTACCAAGTTCGTGCAATCAAGGGTCGCCATTCACGAGCAAAACTATAGGTTGCACGAAACTTGAATTAACGGCAGCTTCCAGAACTTGATGTGTGTCTTTCTCAACTCCATCGTAGTAGAATAGTAATTTCGAGTTTGTATGAACTGTTGAAATAAATAAAGTTTAATTAAATAATAAATCTGCAAAATACTAGAACTCCCTAGAATATTGGTGTATATGTGGATTGTACGTGTATGTTGTGGAAGCTTGTAGAGAATGGTGAATTAAACAAAAGAAGAAAAAAAAAAAAAAAACCAGAACCACAAATATGAAGTAGGTTCCAACTGCTCTATTTATTGAGCTGCAGATTTTTATGTAACTAAGGCCTATAAATAGGCTTGGATGGTGTAGGAAGAGATGTAGAGCCAAAAAACAAAGAAAGAAGAAGCAAAAGGCAATAAAAAGAAGCATCCATTCCTAAAATCTTCTGCCAATTCTCTTCTCCAAACAAAATCCCCAACTTTCAATTCTTCTAGCTCAACCAACGAGCTCACCCAAAAGTCCACCATTAACTTTGAGTTAATAGGAAATAATTAATTTTATTTCCAACAAAGTGGTATCAGAGCCCGAGTTATTCTTAAGTATGCTCTGTGGTTGCAACGTAGTCTGAACTTCCACATTAGAAAAGAATTTCTCGTGTTTTTGTTATTACGATTGTCCCATGGCCGAAAAATCCACTTTCCCCATTCAATTTCCCCATCTTACCAAAACCAATTACAAAAATTGGTGCATTCGTATGAAAGCCTTGCTTGGATCCCAAGATGCTTGGGATATTGTCGATAAAGGCTACGAGATTGCCGTAGAGGATTCTCGGTTATCTCCTGCTGAAAAGGAGGTATTGAGAAAAAATAGAAAGAGTGATCAAAAGGCACTCACTTTAATTCATCAATGTCTTGATGAATCGATGTTTGATCAAATAGCAGATGCTACCACGGCGAAGGAAGCATGGGATATCTTGCAAAAGGAAATGCAAGGCGTAGAACCAGTAAAGAAGGTTCGACTTCAGACACTAAGGGGAGATTTTGAAGCTATTAAAATGAAGGAAGGTGAATCTGTTTCAGATTACACCGCCCGTGTGAAGTCAGTCGTCAGCAAACTGAAGCAATATGGGGAGAAAATTGAAGAGACCAAAGTAGTGGAGAAAATTCTACGGTCATTATTACCAAAGTTTGACTATGTGGTGGTGGCCATGGAGGAAGCTAAGGACGTGTCAAAATGACGGTTGATGAAGTCATCGGTTCATTACAAGCCAGAGAAGAAAGACTAAATAAAAGAAATGAAGAATCATCAGAACAAGTGTTAGCTACAAAAGCTACCACTGAGGAGAAAGAAGATGCCCGAGGAGGAGGTCAGTACATAGGTCGAGGCAGAGGCAACTACAGAGGCAGAGGAAGAGGCAGAGCTCGAGGAGCATATCAAAGTAGAGATGGAGTAAATTTCACCACGAACAACTATGAATCATCCACCAGAGGCAGAGGTCGTGGTCGTGGACGTGGAAGAGGAAGTTGGAGATCAAATGAAGGTCGTGAGAAATCCAACGTTCAGTGCCATAATTGCTCGAAGTACGGGCATTATGCTTCAGAATGTTGGAGTCCGCCTAAAGAAGTGGAGGAAACAGCAAACAACGTGCAAGAAGAAGTCAAAGGCACATTGATGTTGTCACATCAAGGAGATGAAAAACCGAGAGACAACATGTGGTATCTGGATAATGCAGCAAGCAACCACATGTGTGGAAAAAGAAACATGTTCGTGGATATGGATGAATCAGTGAAAGGAAATGTCGTATTTGGAGATTCCTCGAAGGTTCCTATCAAAGGAAGAGGAACTATACTCATCCGGCTCAAGAATGGCTCACAACAATTTATCAGTGATGTGTACTATGTCCCAGACATGACTAGTAACATCCTGAGTTTGGGTCAATTGATGGAGAAGAATTATGAAGTCCACATGGTGAATCGTCAATTGGAGCTTCTAAATGAGAAGAGGCAGTTGTTGGCCAGAGTCCCAATGTCGAAAAACAGAATGTTCACACTGAACATTCAGACATAAATGGCGAAGTGCTTGAAAGCGTGTGTGAAGGACAAGACATGGCTATGGCATATGAGGTATGGCCATCTAAATTTTGGAGGTCTGAAATTGCTCGGTCAGAAGAAGATGGTGCATGGTCTGCCAGTGATCAATCATCCAGACCAATTGTGGATGCTTAGTTGGGAAGCAATTCAGGGCATGTTTCCCGAAAGAGTCCATGTCACGAGCTAAAGCACCACTTGAGCTCTTTCATGCAGATCTCTGTGGACCGATCACCCCAACATCGTTCGGGATGAACAAATATTTCCTATTGTTCATTGATGATTACAGTAGAAAGACATGGGTATACTTCTTAAAGCAGAAGTCAGACACATTTGTAGCTTTCAAGAAGTTCAAGATGATGGCGGAGAATGAAAGTGGCCGCTACATCAAAGCAATGAGATCAGATAGAGGGGAGAATTTATGCTAAAGAAGTTCAAAAGGTTCTGTGAATATCAAGGAATTCGCAGGTTTCTCACAGTCCCAAGATCCCCACATCAGAATGGAGTCGTTGAGAGGAAGAACAGAACTGTACTCAACATGGCGAGAAGCATGATGAAGAGCAAGAACCTGCCAAAGGAGCTATGGGCTGAAGCAGGTCACCAACAAAGAGTGTTTGGAATCAAACACCCCAAGAAGCATGGAGCGGAAGGAAACGCACAATCTCTCACCTCCGAGTCTTCGGAATTGTTGGATATGTGCATGTACCGGATCAAGAAAGGAAGAAGTTGGATGACAAAAGCAAGAAGTACATATTCCTGGGATACTCAGAACACTCAAAAGGTTACAAAATGTTTGATCCCGTGGAAGAGAAGCTGATCATCAGCAGAGACGTGGTAGTTGATGAAGAAGCAACATGGGATTGCACTGCTGAAGCAAAGAAAAATTACACTTTTTATCCATTCACTATGGATGAAAGTGATGATGAACCAGATACAGCTACACCTGTGACAATTCCACCCAGTCACAGAGAGCCTGCCAGCCCAGAAGGAGAATCTAGTGAAAGTCCCCGAGAAAGGCCACAGAAGTATAGGAGACTTGAAGAAATTTATGAGGAAACGACAACCATTGAAGGTGATGAATTGACACTCTACTGTCATTTCATTGATAGTGAACTAGTGGATGTCGAAGAAGCCATGAAGGATGAAAAATGGAAGAGAGCTATGGATGAAGAAATTGGAGCAATTGAGAAGAACAAGACTTGGGAGCTTGTATCACTTCCTGAGAACCAGAAACCCATCGGTGTGAAGTGGGTATTTAAAGCTAAGAAGAACGCAAACGGAGAAGTTGTCAGGCACAAAGCAAGATTGGTGGCTAAAGGATATAGTCAGAGACCAGGCATTGACTATAATGAAGTTTTTGCTCCTGTAGCGAGAATGGAGAGTATCAGGATGGTGATATCTCTCGCTGCTCAAAATGGATGGAAGATACATCAATTGGATGTGAAGTCAACTTTTCTGAATGGATATCTCGAGGAAGATATCTATATTGAGCAACCCCCTGGATATGTCGTTGAAGGTCAAGAAGATAAGGTGCTAAAGCTAAAGAAAGCACTGTATGGTCTTAAACAAGCACCGAGAGCTTGGAATAGCAGGATTGACAAGTATTTTCAGCAGAATGGATTCAACAAATGCCCACATGAGCATGCACTATACTGCAAGGTGCAAGGGGGAGCAATATTGATGGTTTGCCTATATGTTGATGATCTCGTCTTTACAGGCAACGATCCTCAAATGTTTGAAGAGTTCAAGAAGACGATGGTTCGTGAGTTCGAGATGACAGACATTGGACTAATGTCATACTATCTTGGAATTGAAGTAAGTCAAAAGGAGGAAGGAATTTTCATCTCACAGAGTGGTTTTGCCAAGGAGATCCTGAAGAAGTTTAAGATGGAGAATTGTAATCCTGTGAGCACACTAGCAGAGTGTGGACTGAAATTATCCAAGGATGACAAAGGAGAGAAGGTAAACTCAACAGAGTTTAGAAGTCTCGTGGGAAGTCTGAGATACCTGACTTGTACCAGACTAGATATTCTCTACGCAGTTGGATTATTCAGCAGATACATGGAGGCACCGGCAATGTCACACTGGAATGCTGCCAAAAGGATACTGCGCTACCTAAAAGGTACAATCGATCATGGTCTTCTTTATACTAAGTCAGAAATATTCAAATTGGTTGGATACTGCGATAGTGATTGGGCAGGAGACGTCGATGATCGCAAGAGCACTACATGATTTGTGTTTTTATGGGAGATACAGCTTTCACATGGAGTTCAAAGAAGCAAGCTATTGTGACATTATCTACTTGTGAAGCTGAGTATGTTGCTGCGACATCGTGTGCGTGTCATGCAATATGGTTGAGAAAGTTACTGAAGGAGTTGAATATGACACAAGAAGAATCAACTGAAATTTATGTGGATAACAAGTCTGCCCTGGCATTAGCAAAGAATCCGGTGTTTCATGATCGCAGTAAGCATATTGATACAAGATATCATTTCTTGAGAGAATGCGTGGAGCAGAAAGAGGTGACGCTGAAGTATGTGAAGACAGAAGACCAGATTGCTGATATTTTCATGAAGCCGCTTAAGCAAGATGTATTCGTCAAGATGAGGACGCTACTCGGAGTTATGAAGAATTAAACTTTAAGGGGGAGTGTTGAAATAAATAAAGTTTAATTAAATAATAAATCTGCAAAATATCAGAACTCCTTAGAATATTGGTGTATATGTGGATTGTACGTGTATGTTGTGGAAGCTTGTAGAGAATGGTGCATTAAACAAAAGAAGAAAAAAAAACCAGAACCACAAATATGAAGTAGGTTCCAACTGCTCTATTTATTGAGCTGTTGATTTTTATGTAACTAAAGCCTATAAATAGGCTTGGATGGTGCAGGAAGAGATGTAGAGCCAAAAAACAAAGAAAGAAGAAGCAAAAGGCAATAAAAAGAAGCCTCCATTCCTAAAACCTTCTGCCAATTCTCTTCTCCAAACAAAATCCCCAACTTTCAATTCTTCTAGCTCAACCAACGAGCTCACCCAAAAGTCCACCATTAACTTTGAGTTAAAAGGAAATAATTAATTTTATTTCCAACATGAACTTGCTTTGTCGCCAGATAGAAGTACCACATGAGATTAATCTAAAGACGTCTAAGAAAAAGAAATCAGGATGTTAGTTGACCACCTACAATTACTTGAAGTCTACCAAAAAAGACCCAGGTAAAGATGATCAAAATCAGCAAGACGAGTCTTAGCTAAAACTTGTTTCTCCTAAATCATGAAAGGATACCCAAACTATACTATTTATACCAGAGACTAAGTATCAACATCAATTCTGACTACTGTTATAACTTATGGAAAACACATCATATATATTATAAATAACTATGGAATAGTACTAATCCAATAGATGATAGCTGCAAGCTCGAGAATTGTGATTTACCAATGGTAGGGAGGACAGTGAAACAAACCCAAACAAATTGTACGAAATCTTACCCCATAAAAGAAGGGTTCCTGCCCATCGCTTGTCTGTATACAACAAGCAATTCATATGATCCAAGAACACATCTGACGAAAGAAAGTAGAATATTAGAACCCAAAAAGCGTGACTTATCAAAAGGTGAACCTTGAACTCTTAAGTAATTAAGTCACTTCTACTTTGAAACAACTAATCACCCAAAAATTCTAGGTGAGAGGCTCATAAATCATCCATCATGCAAAAGGACAGCAAAACATCCCGCAAAACTTTGAATTTCTAACACCCAACATCTTGATAGCAGTTCGCCAAATTTTTATAAGGTGGCTGTAAATATATAAAACTGAGACTTCAAAAAAGAAGACGGGGAATACTCGTTAAGTAACTCCTGCACTGGATTTGCACCCATGATCACTGTGAGCTTCCCTTCTAACATAGCAAAGTTATCCAATTGATCTCTGCTATTATGTAAAATATGCATTTGGAACAAAAAATGTACAGTAAAAACAGATTAAAATTTCAAAAGAAAACAAAGGAAGAACCTTAATGCTAGGAAAAGGCTGCAAAAGTTTACACTCCATGCCATCCAGGGTACATAAACATTAGCATGGTCATCGATTTATCGTTTATCATATACCTGAGCATATGAATTGCCAAGAGACTTTCTAGGCAAAAAACTGAG